CCAATAATAGCACTGGTACTAGGACTGACCCCCGTGGGACCCCGCTCGTCACAGGTGTCCACTGTGATACCTCATCACGTACCATGACTCGTTGTTGCCTCCCTGTCAGGTATTCTCTGTTCCACTGCAGTGCTCTTAATGTTATACACACCTGATCATCTAGCTTCTGCACTAATCGCTCATGAGGAACTGTGTCGAAGGCATTCTTGCAGTCGAAGAAAATGCAATAAACTCACACCACCCCTCTTACTTCTGTTATTTTATCATAAAACTCCAGAAGGCTTGTCATATAGGATTAGCCTTCCATGAATCTGTGCTGGTTGGCGTTTATACTCTTTTTCCGTTCCAGGTGCTCCACCACTCTCTTCTCTGCATCATTTTTTAAAAACAGGAACTACATTTGCCGTCTTCCACCTCGAGTAGTTGCCCAGTTTCAAGGGATGTGTTAGTGGCACTCACAGCATTTCTGCTCCCTCTCTAGGGACTCATGGGGAGATGTCTGATCCCATTACCTTTGAAGTATCAAGGTCACTTAGCAGCTTTTGCATCTCCTCCTCTGTTGTGCGTATGTCATCCAACACTTTTTGGTATATTTCTTGTTGGTGTGACCCTCTGTTCTGTCTTCCCAGAGTCCTTCCTGTCTCCACTGTAAATACTTCCTTAAGTCTCGTGTTGAGCTCCTCACATGCTTCTTGATCGTTATTTGTGAGTTCCCCACCTTCTTTCATCAGCCTGTGTGTGTGTGTGTGTGTGTATGCTCACCTAGTTGTACTCACGTAATTGTGGTTGCGGGGGTCGAGTCCCAGCTCTTTGCCCTGCCTCTTCAACTGGCCGCTACCTGGTCACTCTTTCCGCTCCTTGAGCTTTATCATACCTCTTCTTAAAGCTATGTATGGATCCTGCCTCCACTACATCACTACCCAGGATATTCCACTTCCATGACAATTCTGTGACTTAAGAAATAATTCCTAACATCCCTGTGATTCATCTGAGTCTTCAGCTTCCAACTGTGACCCCTTGCTGCTGTGTACCATCTCTGGAACATCCTGTCTCTGTCTACCTTGTTTATACCTCCCAGTATTTTATATGTTGTTATCATATCCCCCCTTAACTCTCCTGTCTTTCAGTGTCGTCAGGTCTATTTCTCTTAACCTCTTCTCGTAGGACATACCTCTTACCTCCGGGACTAGTCTTGTTTCAAACCACTGCACTTTTTCAAGTTTCCTTACATGCTTGGCTAGGTGAGGGTTCCAAACTGGCACTGCATATTCCAATATGGGCCTAACGTACACGGTGTACAGGGTTTGAACGACTCCTTATTTAGATGTTGGAATGCTTTTATCAGGCTTGCCAGGCGCCTATATGCTGCAGCAGTTATTTGGATGATGTGCGGCTAAGGAGATGTTCTCGGTGTTATACTCACACCAAGATCCTTTTCCTTGAGTGAGATTTGTTGGTTCTGGCCCCCTAGACTGTACTCTATAGTCTTCATTGCCCTTCCCCTATGTTCATGACTTTGCACTTGGTGAGGTTGAACTTCAGGAGCCAGTTTCTGGACCAGGCCTGCAGTCTGTCCAAATCCCTCCGTAGTTCTGCCTGGTTTTCGTCCAATTCAATTCTTCTTATCAACTTCATGTCATCTGCAAACAGGGACACTTCAGTGTCTATTCCTTCCTTCCATGTCGATCACAAATACCAGAAACAGCACCTGTCCTCGGACTGATCCCTGTGGCACCCCGCTCGTTACCGACGCCCACTCTGACACCTCACAACGTACCACGACTCGCCGTTGTCTTCCTGACAGGTATTCCCTGACCCACTGTAGTGCCTTCCCTGTTACACCTACCTGGTCCTTCAGCTTCTGCACTATTCCCTTGTGTGGAATTGTGTCAAATTCCTTTTTACAGTCCAAGAAAATGCAATGTACCGACTCCTCTCTCTCTCTTGTCTTACTGCCGTCACCCTGTCATAGAACTCCAGTAGGTTTGTGACACAGGATTTCCCATCCCTGAAACCGTGCTGGCTGTCGCTCATAAGCTCATTCCTTTCTAGGTGTTCCATCACTATTCTGATAATTTTATCCATGACCTTGCATACTATACACGTCAGTGACACTGGTCTGTAGTTCAATGCTTCGTGTCTCTCTCTTTTCTAAAAATTGGGACTACATTTGCTGTCTTCCATATTTTCGGAAGTCGTCTTGTTTCGATAGATGTGTTAAAGATAGTTGTTAGTGGTACACAAAGCGCCTCTGCTCCCTCTCTCAGGACCCATGGAGAAATGTTATCCTGCCATATTGCCGTTGAGGTGTCTAGCTCGCTTAACAGCCTCTTCACGTTTTCCTCAGTTGTATGTATTGTGTCCAACACTTGATGGTGTACCCCACTTCTCTGCCTTTCTGGAGGCCCTTCTGTCTCCTCTGTGAACACTTCTTTGACTCTCCTGTTGAGCTCCTCACACACTTCATGATCTTTTTTATGACCTCTCCTCCTTCTTTCCTCAGCCTGATTACCTGGTCCTTGGCTGTCGTTTTCCTCTCAATGTGGCTGTACAACAGTTTTGGGTCAGATTTGGCTTTTACTGCTATATCATTCTCATATTGCCTATGGCCTTCCGTCTTACCAGTGCATATTCATTTCTGGCTCTATGACTGGTCTCCTTGTTCTCCTGGGTCCTTTGCCTTCTATACTTTTTCCATTCCCTAGCACACCTGGTTTTGCCTCCCTGCACCTTAGGGTGAACCACGGACTCATCCTGGCTTTTTCATTATTTCATTATTCCTGTTACCCTTGGGTACAAACTTCTCCTCAGCTTCCTTACATATTGTTGTCACATATTCCATCATATCGTCTACTGACTTCCCTGCCAGTTCTCTGTCCCACTGAACCCCGTTGAGGAAGTTCTTCATGCTTGCGTAGTCCCCTTTCTTGAAGCTTGGCTTCACTCGTCCAGCCCTTCCTACTTCCCCCCCCCCCCCACACTTGTAAATCTACTATGTATTCGAAGCTTAAAACCACATGATTACTGGCCCCCAGGGGTCTTTCATATGTGATGTGTATGTGTGCGTGTGCGTATGTGTGTGTGTGTGCACGTGCTTGTGTGTGTTTATATGTTTGTATGCTCGTGTGCGTGTGTCTGTGTCTGCTTCTGTGCATGTGCCTTCATGTTTGTGTGTGTGTGTGCGCGCAAGTTCGTGTGGGTGTATGACCCACTTAATATTCGTACTTGTAACTCATTACAATTGTTATCGGGTCTGGGCGTGTCATAGGTTCATTACTTAGTAATTTGTTCATGATTGTAAGCATGTATAGGAGTGTAGATGATTCATTACCTTTGTAACTTGCCATGATTGTGACCAGATCTACCTGGAGTTCATTACCTTTGTAACTAGTTCAGCTATCATAACTTTGGAGTCCAGTCCCTTGACCCATTATGTACCTCTGTAATCTTTTGATTACCTCCCACAAGTTGGGTATGGGGTGACTACCGCCCACAGGATGGGTATGGTGGTGAATAATAAAGATATTAAACTAAAAACTCATGGTGACATTGTGTGATTCATTTCTTAACATTCTAATACCGAGTACAGTGTTAATCTCAACAATCCTAACACTGATACTAGAACTACCAAGCTCCTTCCTCATATTAAGAACTTTCCGTAGATTTGGTATAACCATGAGTAATTCTGAGAGCTTCATTCTGCATTAACTCCAAGGGTCGGAGAGAACTTTCCCTAGCTAATATCAACATGGGATGAGAACCTTCAAAACTAGGAATAGTAGGGCAATGATGACTCTCTCTTCAAATTGCTTGTTCGTTCTAGGCTGGAATATTGCTGAATACTAACGGAACCTTTCAAGGCATGCGAAATTACAGACCTAGAAAATATACAGAGAACTTTTTCTGCAAATATAAGTGCAATGAAGCTCCTAAATTACTGGAAACGGTTGAAGTCACTTGACCTTTACTCCATGAAATGCAGACCAGAAACATATACGATAATATACGTTTGGAAAATCATAGAGGGACTAGTTAAAATGTGCACACAGAAGTCACTCCCTACAAAAGTAAAAAAAAAACTTGACGACTGAAAAGCAGGGGCACTATGAGTACGTTAAGAGGAAACACAATAAGTGTCAGGGGCACAAGACAGTTCAGTTGCCTCCCAGCATACATAAGGGGATTACCAGTAGACCCCTGGCTGTCTTAATTCAAGAGAGAGCTTGACAGGCACCAAAAGTTAGTTCCCTACAAACTGGTCTGTTGCTCGTACGCGGTTTGCTCGTGGCCAGCTGTAACAATCTGGTTGATCAGGTCCTGAAACACCTCAAGTAGTAATAGTAGAGGCGGTACAGAAAGGGTAAGAAAGTCTAAGGACATGAGAAAAAAAGATGAAAAAAGAAGGATTGAAAGAGCTAATGACCCTCAAGGGAGGGACCAAAAGCCCGGGGAAAACATTTAATGGACAAAACTCACCTAAGCATTAGAAAATATAGGAAAGGAGAAGATGTAATGGGAGATGATGATCAGGTCAAGTTAGAAGTGTTCTGAAGTTTAGAATGTTTGTCAATGTAGTGAGAAAGGGAGGCATCTACAAGACTGCGTCTGTGACACTAGGAGAAGTGAAGACAGTTTTGGCAGAGACAAGTCAGTACGATGACTGTGACATAACAGAAAAGAACATTATTAGCGTCAGCAGATCTACCATTTCTTCTGTATTCTTGAAGTCTCTCAGAAAGAGAGCGGCCAGTTTCTCAAAATTATTGGAGAGAACAAGAGGAGACTTAAAGAGCACAAAACAAGTGCTAGATTTGCCGACACTAATAATGCTCTTTCTGTTATTAGTTTAATATTTTTATTAAGCACCCTAAGACTACAGAGGCTCGTACTGAGTCTAGGAACTATTTACATACATCTGGTTACAGTCATAACGAGTTACTATAGCTGTATCAAAGTGCCACAATATTTTATAATATTTAAATTTAACTTTTCAATTACAGATATGACTGAGATCTTAACTGCCCATGTGACACAGTGCACAGAAGACACTCAAGGTAACCTAAGTCCATCTCTACACTTAATTGCATCACACTCATGTTTTTTGCGATTTTTTAGTAATACAATGTCCATGGGTGATATATTGCTCCTCAGCCTGACACCAAGCAGTGTTACCCACTGTATTAACATGAACTTATCCACACGTGAACAAGCTTCCTCTTCTAAACGCTCTAGAACCATCACTCGTAGCAACTTCACTTTCTTGAAACTTTACTTCTGGCACTTTAGCAGATATATATGATGGTCGTACCAAATGCAAACTATGTAGCGAACCCTATAACCAACATCTTGAAAACCATATTCTTAATTGTTCATTTACACATAGATAGAATAATAACGTATGTGGTATATCAAGATATCTTATTACTGAAAGTAACATACCATATATATATATATATATATATATATATATATATATATATATATATATATATATATATATATATATATATATATATATATATATATATATATATTATATGTATATTGTTGTGTGTGTGTGTGTGTGTGTGTGTGTGTGTGTGTGTGTGTGTGGTGTGTGTTGTGTGTGTGTGTGTGTGTATGTTGTATCAATAACACTGCACTAGCCAAGGACTCGAATCCATGCTGCTTTGGCCTGCCTCATGGTGGGCAAAAACACACGCCCAAGAATGTAGATATACACCATTTCCTTGGCAAATTAAATAGCTTAGTCCATTCTATAAACTTTACTGTTGAGTTTGAGGAAAATAACTCATTGCCTTTTCTAGATGTTTAATTATTAAGAGTAATAATGAATTCAAATTTAAAATTTATAGAAAACCTACAAATAACTGTTCCTATGTACATTATTATTCTTGACTTCAAGATAGAGTTAAACTGTCTGTTTTCTCATTAATGTTTTTCAGAACTTTACGTTTTAGTAGTCCAGAGTTCATAGATGAAGAAATATCCAAGATTTATGAAATAGGTAACGATCTGAATTACCCAAGAAATGTAATTGATAAATCTTTTAAAGTTGCTAGAAATACTTTTTACAATCCAAAAAGGGACAACCAGCCTTATTCAACTAAAAGTATGTTGATTCTCCCTTACCATGAAAACTTGGTTGATATGCCTTCTCTTCTTAAGACTTTTAACATCAAAGTTGTATTTAAAAATCTTGATACAGTAAAGAAAATTTCGATAAAGAATTCCCCTCAAAATGCTGACAGATGTGTCAATAAGATTCCTTGTAAAATTTGCGATAAAGTTTATTACGGTCAAACTGGTAAAAATCTCGAACTAAGATTAAAACAACATAAATATAGCATTAGAACTGGATAAGATTCCAATGCTCTATTTATTCATGCGAGAGAGTTTAACCATCCAATTGATTTTCAAAAAGTTGAGAAAGTTGTATGAAGCAAGTCCATGGTCGACAGGAAAATAATTGAATCATGTTTCATAAAAAGCAGTTTTGACAATAATATAAATATTTCCTTTGGTTCATATAAATTAGATCCATTTATAATTAATAGAATTTAGGAATAATTTAATAATACAATGAACAAATAATAAATCTTAATTCTTGGGTAGAATACTTTGTTTGTGGGTTGCATGAAGGACCTGTCTAGTTTGGCCAGTGGGCCTGCTGCAGTGTTCTCTTTCTTATGAGTCGCGCGTCAGGTGTTGCTTTGTTGTGGGATGTGATAGTGAGGTGTGGTCTAGACCCATTATATGCTTTCCTCTGATGCATTACTTTTATTATTCCTTGATAATGTGATTAGTCACGAAATCGCTTGGAATTTCTCTATTCTTTCAGAGTGGTTGTTTTGCATATTCTGAAATTACCTGTTTACTGTGATCTTATTGCATCTTATTATTAATGGATACCACATGACTCTTCAGAATGTTCTCGATAAGCTTTCCTAGTCATATTTCTTTTGTTTCCCAATTTTCTTCTGCACTGATAAAGTCCCACAAGTTAAGAATTGCACTTATTTAAAAAAAAAAAACTGTTTAAATGAACAAGTTCTGGCCAGGTCTCTTTTACCTAATATCATCCTTGACATGAGAGATCGTCCTTTTGATGATTTCATGAGAATTATTCTTCAGAAACAAATTGAAATTACTGAAATACAGAACAAGGAAGCATTCAAAATATTGAGAAACAAAAAATACTCATTTAATCAGGCCATTCCATCAAAACGGAAATATAGTATATGTATGTGGCGTGTACTTAGTTAAGTGATGACGTGTACTTAGCTCTGTGAAGATTGTTCGTGTGCTCTCTGGGGTTCTGAACCAGGATGCCCTCTCTTGAGCAATTCTACCAGCAGCTAAAAGAAGAACTTATAACTGTTAAGCTGGAGATAAGGCGACTAACGGAGGAGAACAAGAGGATTTGTAGTAATCCTGTTGTGAGTCCTCATGTTAAGAGAGGAACCTGGTCAGTGGCTGCACAACATGGAATCAATCTGAGGCAGAAACAACGAAGAATCAGAAGACTACTGTGGAAACTTCCAACTCATTTTCGGTGCTACCTGACTAATGTGGGTTGTCTACTGGGAACGTCACAATGAGCACCAAGGAAGCATTGGCAGACGTGAATGAAACATCCCCAGAAACCCCAACGAAGACCATCGAGAATGTCACGACGAATTCCACAAGTGAAGGTAAGAACATTGTTTTAGTTGGAGACAGTCAGGTTAAATTTATGGATAGGGCATTTTGTCTTAGGGACAGGAAGAGGAGGCAGAGGGTATGTTTTCCTGGGGCTGGGATAGGAGATATTGTTAGCCGTCTGGACGACATTATGAAAGGTAATGGGAGCAATCTTATTAACTGCCTCAGTGCGGGAGGCAACGATGTTGGCAGACATAGGAGTGAGGACTTGATTAGAAGATATAGGTCAGCAATAGAAATAATTAGGAAGAAAGGTGGGAACCCTGTCATATGTGGTATTTTGCCAAGGAGAGGAGTTGGAAACAAATGGCTGTCCATGGCAACTGGTGTCAATTGCTGGATGGACAAATACTGTAAGGAAAATGCAGTAACATTCATTGACAACTGGGACATCTTGTGTGGCAGAAATGACATGTATCCCAGGGATGGGGTTCACTTATCTAGGTCTGGGGTGGGGGTAACTGCAGTGGAGGGAGCTGTTAGGGCTTTAAACTAGGAATAGTTAGTGGTATGGGTTTTGGTGGGAAAACATTGAGGTCCCAGTGTAGTAATATTATGAGTTCTAGGGTAACTAGTAACTAGAGGACGACGTCCTTGTAATAACTCCCAAACGTTTTGATGTACGGAATCTTCAGGCAAGGCTCAACGCAGTTGAACCGGCGATCCAGTTTACCCTAGAAGAAGAGTCCAATGACAAGCTACCTTTCCTCGACGTCATCATTCACAAAGTAGACAACAAACTAAGATTTCAAGTTTATCGGAAACCTACCAGTAAAAATGATCTCACACACTTCTATTCCAGTCAAGATACTAAGACCAAAAGAGGCATCATCATTGGGTTTTTCCTAAGAGCATACCGAATTTGTAGTCCTGAGTTTCTTGACGAGGAATGTACATACATTCACCAAACATTCACTGAGTTACATTTTCCTTCCTTTTTCATCAAAGACTGCAAGAAAAGAACTCTTCAGATCATTAATTCTCCACGCACCAACACCACTCCCAACAAAGTTATAATTCTTCCCAACAGCCAGGTTGTACTGAACGTTTCTAAAGTACTTTCACAAGCTAACACCAGAGTCGCCATCGCTTCTAGCACTTCAATAAAAGATCTAACCAGGACAAAATCAAAGCACCGCGAACCAGTCAATGCAGGGGTTTACACTATACCTTGTGGAGGCTGCGACAAGATTTATGTAGGTGAAACAGCAAGAAACATCGACACCCGCCTCAATGAACACATTTACGCATGTAGGAACGATAACTTGAACAACGCCTGTGTAGAACACCGAAATTCTACCAATCATCTCATGAAATTCAGGGTCGGTAGTTAGTGATCAAAGAAACTAATTTCAGCAGACGCAAGTGCCTCGAATCAGCACTAATCGCTGTTTCGAATACAATTAAACAAAACAAAGGCAGATTCACCATCTCTGAAGTCTTAGCAAGAATCCTCCTGAAAACAGTAAACCCTGCCATCACATAGTCTCTCCTGTTAATACTACACAAAGCACATTACAGAGAGTGAACAAAGAAAAAGGCCTTCTCTATCCAGTCGATATTTGTCTAACCTATTTTTATGTTACCCAATTTGGAGGATTAGACTCTAGGGACCCGAGATTTTTCATTGACAATTTGTTTCATTGAGCTCTTTATTATATCAAGGGAACTGTCGTAGGACACTCTTGATTTATTGGTGAGAAGATTGGATGGTCAAGAGACCCCATTCTACTCACTGTTTGCTCGGAGCTGGCATAGAACCCTTCGTTTTCTTTAATACATATTGTTTAATTGAAGCAGGAATCGAGCCCTCTGGTTTACTTAGTTTGAGCAGAGAAGGAACTGAACCCTCCATTTTCTTTAATACCCATTTCATTTTCCCCTGGTAGTTTAAGTTATTCTTGCAAGTATGGAGGAATACCAGTTTTGGATGAATGCTGGAAGTAAGTTAGGAATAACAGGGAAAAATTTAGAAGCTTTCATTAGTGCTAAGATCCAGGAAAGAGAAAAAAAAGGAGAAAGAGAACCTTGAAAGACAGGGGAAAAAGGAGAGAGAGAGAATTGAAAGAGAAAGCCAAGAAAGACAGTTAGAAAGAGAGCGAGAAGACAAAAAAAATGTGTGATAGACTTGATCGTGAGGAGAGAGCTAAAGTACGTGAGGAACAAGTTAAATTAACAGAACTTGAGGAAAGAGCAAAGGATAGAGAACGTGAGGAAAGAGCCAGAGAACATGAGGAAAGAGCTAGAGAATGTGAGGAAATAGCTAGAGAACATGAGTTAAGAGAGAGAGAAAAGGATCGCGAGCTCGAGAAAGCTCGCCTTGTATTAGAGAATAAAAAGGTAACTTTCTCACAACAGCAATTAGAAGAAGGAGTAATAGAACAATGTGCAGCTAATGCACATATTCCAACACCTAATTTACCTCCCTTCACAGAGGGGGAAGACATAACTCCATACATTATCAGGTGTGAAAATACCGCTACCCTCTGTGAATGGCCTGCTGACACCTGGGCTACCAGGTTAGGAATGTTATTTTATGGTTCAGCTTTGAATATCTATGCAACTTTGTCGCAGGATATCATATGTAATTATAAC